TAATATTTTTTTTTTTGTGGCACGGGATGAGTTTTCATGAGTCACTGCTCACTTTTTCAGTCTCTTGCTCTTTTCTACTGCTACAGACAGACTAACATGGCTACCAATCTTGTAAATGGACAGTGGAGATCTTATCCAAGGCCACCTCATCACTTCACAGCACAGGTAACATTTGAACTAGGAACTTCGGAGGTCACGGTTTTTAGCCCCTCTGCTACATCAAATATCACTCCTGTATACACCTTCAGGAGCTGCGGTGGCTCAGGTGGTTAAGAGGCTGAACTGGAGGCTTTGGAAGGTCAGTGGTTCAGCAGGTCAAGACCCGGGTGCCGCAAGACGGAGTGACCTCCCATCTCTAGTTCCAGCTCCTGCCAACCTAGCAGTTCGAAAGCAAGAAATTGCAAGTAGATAAATAGGTACCACTACAGTGGGAAGGTAACAGCGTTCCGTGCACCTTGGTGTTTAGTCATGCCGGCCACATGACCACGGAAACGTCTTCGGACAGCGCTGGCTCTTCGGCTTTGAAACGGAGATGAGCACCGCAACCCTAGAGTTGGATTCGACTGGCTTTCGAGCAAGGGAACCTTTACCTTTACTATAGACCTTCAAGATGATTTGCAAATGCCTTTCAACACAACAAAGTAATAAAGAAAAACTACCTGAAGTGGGTATTCAGGCTTAATGGATTGTGCTGGGCAAATAGCAGCATGGCATCCATACCAAAGGATTTGTCTCCATAAAAATATAGAACATATTCTAACAAATGTGCATATCCTTGTCCTTCAGTCCATAAACCTTGTATACTTTAAAAAAGAAAATAAAATCCACATAAATCGAATCAAGCATTTTGTTTGAATAGGCTTCCCAACATCAATTTGCAGTCTCAAGGGTAAACAAGTTAACAAACAAAATCTACAATAAAAATTAGTAAAGGGAAAATTCTGATTGAGATCTATATAGGTGATGCCTTCTGTTTAGTAAGACACAGGGAGGGGAAAACAAACCTGACCCAAAAACTGGAATCAAGAACCAAAAGGGTGAGAAGAAAGTCTAATGAAGGGCCAATATTAAAAACCTAGTTAAAACTTATAATATACAAAAAAAAAAAAGTATTTATTAGAAAGACCAGGGGTTTTTTGGGGCCGGAACATGCTGGAGCACCGCTCCGGGAGCCCAGGCGCCGTAAAAAAAAGGTGGTGGCAGCAAGCCCCGCCCCCAGCTCCCCACACTGCAGCCCCCCGCCGCCTCCCAGGGCCAGCGCCGGAGCGCTGCCGCCCGTGGGAGAGCAGAAGAGGCCCCCCTGCCACCTCCCTAGGCCAACGCTGGAGCGCTGCGGCCCGTGGGAGGCCAGAAGAGGCCCCCCGCCGCGTCCACGGGCCAGCGCCAGAGCGCTGCGGCCTGTGAGAGGGCAGAAAAGGTCCCCCCGCTGGCTCCCGGGGTAAGTGAGGGATCAGCGGGGGGTGGTGGAGGCTTGATTGGGGGAGTGGGGTGGGTGGGAGAGCCTCCCCCCTCCCCCATCTCTTTGTCCTCTTTCTTTCCCTCCCTTCACCTCTTTCCCTTCTCGCTCTTTCTTTCTTTCCCTCCTTTCATTCTCTCCTTCTTCCCTTCTCGCTCTTTCTTTCCCTTCTTCTTTCCTTCTTTCTTTCACTCTTTCATTCCTTCGTTCCTTCTCTCTACTCTCTCTCTCTCTTTTCTTCCCTCTTTCCTCCTTCTGCGGCCCAACTCTAGTGAGAAGGGGTTTAAAGTTTAAACCCCTTCTCTCTTTGCTCCCCCCCCCCGGGGAAGGGAAGGGGAGGCTTTTGAAGATGCCTCCCCCCTTTTGCTTCCCTTTCTGACATCACTTCCGGTGATGGCAGGGGTAATTGCATATGCTAATGAGCTATTATGCAAATAGCCTAGTAGCTCATTAGCATAACATATGCTAATGAGCTCTTGCAGCTCTTTTTCTAGGAAAAGACCCCTGAGAAAGACAGTTAAAAACATACATAAGGGCCCAATGAAAGCCTCGTAAAAAAGTATAGCCTAAACACAAGGGCCAATACATATGACCTGATGCATTTCTGCCCTATTAGGGCCTTCTTCAGAGGTCAAACAATATTGAGGTACACATAACTTAAATACATATTTCAATAAGATAACCAATAAGTGAATATTGGACCAGGAAGAGGAAGGTTAAGCAGCAAGATCTAGAGACACATGACAAAGATGTTTGTGAGGCCTCAAAAGGTGAAGATCATGTGTCTGGTGCCAAATGCACAGTTGCTGAATTAGAACATCTTCCAATTTAGCTCCAAAAACACATATGTGGCTATCAAAGTCAGAGCTAGAGTGTCCTCAAGCAAATAGCAGTGCTATTGAGTAGGTGTGGTTCTAATTCAGCAACTGTGCGTTTGGCACCAGACACATGACTTTCACCTTTTGAGGCCTCACAAACATGTATGTTTTTAACTGTCTTACTAATAAATACTTGTATTTTTGTATATTATAAGTTTTAACTAGGTTTTTAATATGGGCCCTTCATTAGACTTTCTTCTCACCCTTTTGGTTCTTGATGCCTTCTGTTTATTCTGCATGAAAAGGAGTCCAGTGAAACCTTAAAGACTAAAAATATTTATCTCAGCATAAGCTTTCATGAGACAGAGCTCCCTTCATCAGAAGCATGAACTGTATATCTGTTAGGCAGACGAATACATATAATGCATCTGATGAAGTGAGCTCTGCGTCAAAGCTTATGCTGGAATAAATCTTGTTAGTTTTTAAGGCTGTGTACTTTTACATTTGCCACATTAAAATATATTCTTAATTAGTGAAGATAACTACAGAACTTCCTGTATTATTTCTTTGTGCTTGCATTTCCCAAAGGTTTCAGAAAACTGTCCATTGTTTGCAAGGAATAAGAATGGAACAGCAAGCCTAGAGAATGTTTAGACATGGTGATGTAGTGACTCCTAGTGGTTCTTACTGAAGGAGATCAAGATGACAAATCCTGTCAAATCCTGTGAGACAAGGCAATATAAATTAAAGACCTTAGGCACCCCTTACAAATTTATTAAAAGCTTTTGTGGTCTTGAGTCTAGTTCACCAAAGTCATGCAAGAAAAGTAAACTGAAACGTTGCCCTAATGTTGCAGTTTCCATTTCTATCATATTTTCCTCCAATCTCCATTCCATCCACAACATGCTCCTTTCTCCAGAACCCCAAATAGGAGGAGGGGACGGGTCACCCCTCCCAGCAAGCTTCAGGTTAAAAGGCATTCTTTTTCCTGAAACACCACAATCTCCCTGTATTTCCAAAGAATGCTGAGTCGGAAGAGATCCAGCAATCTTTAAAGTAAGCTATATCAACCTGCCCTGAGTGGTGCCTATCCAGGGCTGGAGGCTCCAGTGTCTCAAGGATTTTTCCCTTGCTGAATGCCTCTTACATTTAAGCATTTCCCACTGCCTTTCACTTAATTCCAATGTTTAAAAACTGCTTCTTGTTCTAAACATTCTTTTACCCATATTTGAAATCTATCAGTACACACTTTTCTTTGATTTCTTAGGCTAAATATAACTGGACTTATTATGAAAGTAACACGGGGGGCACATTTGCATGTTGATCTTAGGCTACTTCCACATGGTAATGACTCTCTGTGCAGCTCTGGTTGCTGCTTTAAATAGAGGGGAAGCCGATGAACCAGAGGTCACTCTATCAGCCTCCAGCTCTCAGAGCCTACATGTATTTATTCATTTACAACATTTATGCATTTATATAAGGATGGACTGCATTTCCCACCTTTTAGGGAAGTGGAAGCAAGATGTTGTGTTTCACTTGCAAGAAACTATACCTGTCCCCTTTTATTTCTGTTGTTCTGTATTACATTTATTTAGTCCTAGGTGCTACCAAAGAAGAGCTTTGCTGGGGAGAGGGGTTAAAACTCCTGAAAAATAAATGCCAAACACGAAATCATGAAATTACATTGCAAGATCTGGGCTGCTATTTTGAGGTTGCTGGGCAACCCAATACAACTGCAACCATGGGAGCCTGATGACCAGCAGCGAAGCCAAGAGGTGTGTGGAGCTTCACTCAATTACACTGCTGGCCCAATCTGCCATCCACCCCCTAATGTGAGTTTATAAAGGCCATCTGCTGAAGTGGGGTCTGACTCATAAAAGCTTATGCTGAAATAAAAATTAGTTAAGCCTCTCAGAAGCCAACAAGTCTCGTGCCTATGGATGCTATTATTGCTTGTCAGTGACGCAGAACTAGACGCTTTCCTCCACGCATGGAAAGCACAGCAGAGCTATGCACTGTCTTACTGATCATCACATGGTTCTTCTTCTCGCAGAGATTTTTCCTGATAATTCCAGTTAACAGAATTTATTTATTTAGATACATCCCACTTCTCTCCCCATTGAGAGCCCGTTCTCTTTTCCTTCATTAACAGAATTTCTAATGCCCCCATCCGGGGAAGAAACAAAATCCAAAGGTTGCAGAGTCATCTTTTACAGTGATTTTCAATCCTGCAAAGCGCCTTCGGCTGACAGAGATCGCATACAGCTTGGAATTTCAAATCCCTCTTTTGTAGACAGAGTGGGGGCGATAACTGAGTATGTCCCCCCCCCCCTTTGATGTTCCCTCAAACATACTAATCATGCCTCAGACCATTGCGTCGCCTGCTGTTACTTCACTCCGCTTGGGACTCGCACCCTTTTTCAAATCAGAAGAGACCCGAATTCTTCCCCTCCCGCCCCACGCGCCGTCCCGCCCCAGTCGCCTTTGGTGCCTCCTAAGAAACTGCACGATTCAACGTGAACTAAACTGCCCAGCATTTCACTCCTCAGAACCACTGAGCAAATCCACTACCAGTCCCGCCTGCCTGCCTGCAGCTCCTCCTTCAATAGAAGCAGATGTTTTGCGCCTGCGCAATGGACACTTAACGGCTCTTTGTGTGGGTGCGCGATTAGCATGCGTCGTAAGTGTGCGACTCCGGTCTCTTAGCAACGAAGGGAGGCGTCTGTGATGGCCGTGGAGCAGTTGATAGTGTTGTTGCTGCTTCTGGTGTTGGTCTTGGGGAAGGCTGAACCGGAGAAAGAAAATGATACTCTGTACTCGGAGGAAGATCCTACGAATGAGATGGGGCCCAGCGAGCCACCCGAGGTTTGGAGGGAAGAGAGAGCCGGACACAGAATGGGTGAGGGAGAAGCTGGGGGTTGCCTGAGGTAGTCGCTGTTCTAAAACACCGCTTTATAGAAGAAGTGTAAAAGAGGGCTTCGCCCACAGGTCCATCTAGTCTAGCACCCTACTCCCTCAGTGGCAGGCCGGTTTTTCTAGGAAGGCCATTAGCCGGCAGGAATCCTCCCCGCTGCCATTGCCTCTCAGCACCTGTTATTAATCGTTACACTGCCTATGAAAATGTAGGTTTTGTTTAGGTACCATAATCAGGACAGACTGGGAGGCCAAAACGGTTCTGGAAAAGAGCCAAAACCCCTCCTGCTGCCATGCCCCGCCTCCAAATGATAAAGGGCTAAAGAGCTGGCTGGAAAGAAAGGAGGGGCCACTGTGTCTGGGGCGAGCATAGGGTTGCCAGGACTGGGTTGGAAAATACCTGGAGACTTTGGGGGTGGATCCAGGAGCGGGTGGGGTTTGGGGAGGAGAGAGGCCATTTTCTCCAGGGGAACTGATCTCTGTTAGCTGGAGATCAGTTGTAAAAGTGGGCGATCTCCAGGCCCCATCAGGAGGCTGGCAAGCCTAGGCAAGCACAGCGTGAAGCTGGGTGCTACTGAGCTCCTCCGTGCTGGCCCTTGTGGGAGGGGAAGCACAGAGCACCAGCCCACTGGAATTTTCCCTGGTAAAGTAAATGGCCAGTCCAAGTCTGATCATAAGTAATGGTTGTTCATCTGTCTAACCCTAACAGCAATTACTTTTCTAGTCTCCTCTTTAAGCTATCTAAGTTAGTTACCATCACTCCCTTGAGAGCCTCTGAATCCAATAAATTAATTGTCTATGTAATGTCTGTCCTGAAGCTATTGCCTGTCTGTTTCACCCTGAGCCAATGGGGGGGGGGGGGATACTTTCTGTAAACTTTCTCCACTCCCTGCATAATTTGTTCTGTTTCTCCTAAACTAAAAAGCCCCAGATGGTTTAGCTATTCTTTGAACAGGAGCCTTGTCTAGTTCCTTGAGCTAATTCCTTTCTGCACTCTTTTCAGCTCTTTTTGAGATAAAAACTATATACAATGCATGGGGGGGAGGCAGTGTGGTGTCAATGGTTCGAATGTTGGAGTGGACTCTGGGATATTGGAGTTCATATTCCCACTCTGCTGTGAAAATTGAATGACTTTGGGCTAGTCACACTGTGTCAGCTTAATCTACCTCACGTGGCTATCCTGCAGTTAAAGTGGAAGAAGGGAGACTCATGTACATCACCCTGAGCTTCTTAGGGAAAGTGTGAGATAAACATGAGATAAATTGATAGAAAGTACAAAACATCTCTCTTGATTCATGGCTTCTTCCCGCAATCCCAAATGCTGATCCTCTTCATTCCCCTCCCCCCCCTCAAAGGCTCTTTGTCAGTTTGCCCCTGTGACCTGCACCCAGGCTACTGTGACCTCAACTGCTGCTGTGATTCAAGATGCGGCTCAGAATGCAGCATGGAGGGCTCTATGTGCCCCTTCTCCTTCTGTCTTCCAGGCAGCACTAGGTGAGGCAGCTGAATCTACTGCTTTCCAGTGTGAAAGGGATAAGGGCATTGGGTAGGTTACTATTTTTTTTCCTGTTAGGGA